CCGCTGCCACCCGATCGATAGATAGATAGACAGAGAGAGAGAGAGAGTTGGTTCCGCGTTTTCTTATGTCGACCGTGTGTAGCCGAGACGACGAATCTAGCAAGATAATACGCGCTCTAACCATTTACGATAATAACACGATAGCAATAGCGGTAGTAGACGTACTAACGATAATAACGCGACGCTCTCTAGGCGAAAGAGAGCAGAATATACGCGATAATGTATACACGTATGTAGTTGTGACGCGCGGCCGTGCACACAGTAGAGAGTAAGTAGACGAGATCTCTGTCCTTTCCTTGCGCGGGGAAAACTCTTCCCAACGAATCGGCACACGTGGAACGCGACACCCTCGTATACGATTAGTCGCCCCCGAAAAGAAAAGAAAAGAAAGAGAGAAGAAAAAGGAAAAGAGGGAAACGCGCAATATCGGTGACCAGAGGAACGACGAGAACGAGTAAGGTCGAACTAATAAAGTAACAGCCGACAAAGGGAATCGTAATAATGACTAACGATAATAACGATAATAATAATAATTAACGTTAACATTAATATTAATAATATGGAATAATGATACTACTAATTACGGTAAAAAGATAATACAGAATAGTAATACTAACGATAAGAGTACTAATAATAAAGAAGTAATATTACGGCAATCGTGTCCATTGCCTGTCGCGAAAGGAAAACGAAGCATAAAATAACCAGGTACCTACAAAGTGACGTGCCTTTGAGACTCTTCGAAGCAAACGATTGGTTCGTCGTTAACCTTCCGCGGGCGTGTCCGTATTGCGCGTTTCGAGGGTTCGCTTTCGCCACCTCTTATTGTTAGTTCGAGATGAACGGCCATGCAACGGTGTACAGGGGGTGTGAACTAGCGATCGGCTAACGAGCGAATTAACGATAAATCCTTTTGTTAGCGCGATAGCGGAGATAGCGGAGGCAAAATAGAGAAGCGACGAATATTTTGGAACGATTTAATCGACGAGGAGTAGGACGGGTCTAGGGGAAGAGAATAAAAGAAAGAAGAAAAAAAAGATACTAATGTCCATGTTGCTAAATATTAGCGGTGAGGTAGTTTGCGTATAGCGACGTCTCTTAGTTTAAATTAGTGTTTAGCGCGAGCGAAACAGGTGGAGAGCGAAATCGTGCGTAGAGAGAAAGAGAGAGAGAGTGTGTGTGTGTGTGCGCGTGTGTGTGCGAGCGAGGAGCGCGAATGTAAAAGGGCGACACACACGCGACGCATAGTAGAAACACGTAGATTAAAGTTAGACGATAGATTTTTAGGTGAAGTTATCGAGCCCGTTCCTTCGTATTAGATATGGTAGCGTTAGAGATGCCCGGACGCGCCTCCAAACGAGGACAACGTGGTTCGTACCTAGTGACTATTTAGGTAGAAGAAGGCTTTTCGCTCCAATGGCGATCCTTTTTGTTTCTCGTCGATCAAGTAGAAGAAGAGAGGGGAAGACGACGACGACGACGACGACGACGGCGAAGAAGAAGAAGAAGAAGAAGAAGAAGAAGAAGAAGAAGAGGAAGAAGAAGAAGAAGAAGAAAAAGCGCTAGACAACGTCCGTTTGTCGCTTCCTCGAGACGTTCATCTGCCTCGGTCCATTCCACGCCGCGTTTCGTTGGCGACTTTTTCCAATCCGGAGCAATAATAAAGAAAAAATGTGAGAAAAGGAGAAAGAAAAGGCGATTCGATCGATTCGAGGGAGCGATGCCGATTCGGCGGCAAGAAATATTCCTTTTGTACATTTGGAGGACGATCTTTTTGTCGTCGATCTATTCCGCGGCCAAGTAGAGGCAGACGCGAACGCTAGAACGAGAGAGGACGAGGAGAAGAAGAGTACCGTGCCCGTACACTGGTGTAGTCGCGCGTAAATTATTATAAATATTAACGCATTAATATTATCGAGTATATACCTCTTCTGTACATACAGTTAAACGGCAAGGAACAATAAGAACGTGTCACGATTAGTCTGGTAAGGATCGTTGGGAAACACGGGGAGCACGATGGACGCGTTTCGTATCCGAGGACCGATTGATTTTCAGTTGCGAACGAGACCCACATTCTCTATGTATTGTCGCGGCGGTACGATCCAAGGCACAGTTTATAAATAGGATATTATAAATACAATTTCACAGAGAACCGCGATCAGAGCGGAGGCGGACGGTGATTTCTTCTTATTGCTATCGATTATTACCCATTATTGTTATTACGATTTTTCTTACGACGATTGCTACGACGCCGACGCCGACGACGACGACGACGATTATTATTATTATTACGGTTACGATTATCGTGTAAACGCGGATGAGAGAGAAAGAGTGCGTGTGATGAGAGAGAGAGAGAGAGAGAGAGAGAGAGAAAGCTTGTATCGTTCGCGTGCTGATCGGATGGGAGAAGAGGATGTTATCCGTCGAGCAGCGTTTAGACTCTAGACTGACGCGAATAAGGGGTTCCTAAAAATTGTCCGGGAGAACGTTGTTCCGCGAACGTCCCAGGGAGAACGTACGGGAGGCGAGGCGATTCGAATGTTGTATCCGAAGAAGAAGAGGGAAGGAAAGAATCGCTTGGCTCGTACGGTGTCCTCGCGACGGATCGCGTCGGCTGCAGCCTTCTTACACCGATAGACCGACTCTGTTTCTTTTTTCACGCAAATCACCCACCGATATGATATCACGGACTTATCACCCAACCTTTTTATTCCCGCGTGTAAGCAGCGAACGACGAAGAAGCGACCGCGAGCGAACCCGAGAGCGTATTCACTAGCGTCGGTGAGCTTCTTCTCCCAAGTTAAGTCGGAAGCCACGTTTCTAGGCGTAAACGATCATCCTATCGTTATTTATTGGCAGAACCGAACCAATGCTCAAGCGATGCTGTTGGTTTAAAGTGAATAAAAGAAAAGCTGAGAAACCAAGATTTTCTTTACCCGTCTGTACGTACCTATAGGCCTGTAACACGTCGTGTATGTGCAGTGGAGTATAAAGGAAATAATAAAGAATACACACTTTTTATTACGCTGTCTCTTTCATTCCGACCGCTGATGTGAAACATCAAGCTGCTCCAAGGTAAGTCGAACGATCGACGGCTATCTTCAGAGCCTGGCGATGGGTGACATTCTGCGAAACTGGATACAAGCGAGGCTAGGTATTTTAATCGATCTGACGCCCAAGGTATTTGGGTACTACACCCGGGACGGCACGCTGCTGGCGCAGATATTGCACAGCTACGACATAATAACCCGTGGCCAGCTGGACACGATCCTCAGCACGCAAGATCCCGCTCTGTGCAGGGTGAACCTGAAGCATTTGAGGTTCTGGCTGCGGTTCGTAGGAGTGGACTGCGACGATGAGAGCATCGAGGAGATCTCTTGCGGCAAAGGTGCCACGTCTCTGCGTATCTTCTACAAGCTCTACCTATGCCTCGAGACCAAGGACAGGCTGCACTTTATCACGCTGCACAAGGAGAGAGAAAGGTTCGTCCCGACGTCGAAGAAGTTCGAGGTGAGCAGAGTCTGCGAGGATCCTTCGGCGTACCAACCCCCGGAACATCCTCTGTCGGAGAAAGTGACCAAAGGGAAGGACGTCCCCGAGTGGCATCGCTCCAAGTTCCCGGCGATCCTCCGAAAGACTCGGCTGGAGAAACTCGCGGCCTCGCAGCCTTATCTGGTGGAGGTGGTCGAGCGGTGCGTTCCCGGGGCAGCTGCGCAGCCGCCGAAAGACCGCCTGGACGCTAGGAAAGAGGAGAGCGAGGAGTTGGACCGATTCGCTCGCGAGCATCGAGTTCGAGCGAGGAAGCTGTACAGGCAAGAGAATCCGAAGGAGGAGGAGGCGGCGGAGGAGGAGGAGGAGGAGGAGGAAGCGGAGGAAGGAGGCGAGGAGGAAGGGATGGCTGCGACGTACGTGGAATGGCTGAAGAATCGTAGGAAACGCGCGGCAACCACTGCAGCTCTAAAGACCAAGATGCAGAAAGAGTTGCTCTCCGAGCTGTGGGAACGTATGGCCGAGAAACAGGAGAGAGTTTTCGACGAGGCGATCGCCAGACGAGTACTGGATCAGTCCAGGTACGAGAAGCAGATTATGACGAAGCTGTGCGAGGTGCGCGAGCAGAAGAACGTCATGGCGGAGAATCAGAAGGTGGTGGAAGACATAACGTTGGAGGCTAAAGAAGTGGAGCATCGAGCGAGCTACGAGCGAGACAAAGACCTGGCTAGCAAGAGGGACAACGATATAGAGATCGAGTGCGAGAGAATGTGCGAATTACGGAGGAGGCTGTTGAGTGAGAAGGTGAGAAAGGTACGCGAGAAGCACTGGAAAGTTTGTCGACGAGTGGTGGACGATCTCGCGAGTATCGCTCTGAACGTGGCGGATCATCGACGGGTGAACCGTGGCCACGTTCCCTTCACCCTCCTCAGCGAGTGGAAGACGCTTTTCCGTAGATCTCGACCTATCTTCGAGGAACAAATACCGTACAGTCTGTGCCGACGTACGAGCAGCGACGAGCAGCAGGGCTCGCGGAGCAAGTTGGACGACGTCGAGGGGCTGCAAGATGCCCTCTTGGCCGATTATCTCGAGACGAGTCCACCTTGGGACGCGTCCTTGCCGATGCTCGGCGAAGACACGCAGGAAACGTTGACGTTAGGTCGCACGGTGCTCGGGTACGTCGTGCACCGCCTCTTGGAAGGGCTTTACGCTCGTCCGTTGGATCGTTCTCGGTCGCTGTTGCAGAACTTCAAACACGTGGCGATCGTTCTGGGCATCGGAAATCCCGAGGTGTACGAGACGATTCGAGCGTTACTCGAGCAGACTGGCATCCGCGCGATACGAATGGACGACGCGATCAATTATTGCCTCGAGAGGTACAAGGAGGAGATGTCGGACGTGGAGTACGTCGATTTGAACATCGTCGCGGCCACCGCGGAGATCCTGAAGGAACTCGGGAACGGCGAGAAGGGAATGGCCAAGTCCGCCAAGTTCGCGGACAAGATCTCGGTCACGTCGTTGGACACGACGATCAAGCGTAGCAGCAAGACGAGATCGACGAGGTCGACGAGATCGACGAGGCAAGAGTCGAAGACGGCGGACCATCCGGGGAAAGGAACGCAAACTCCGAGAAACATACCGTACGACGACTTGGATCCCGTATTGACCGACTCCGCGTACATGGGTAGGCTTAGTTAGTTACAGGCGAGATCTCTATCCCTCAGCTTCCTTAGACGATTTTGTCGCGCAGGTAAGTGGACTTACGAGTTCCTGATGCTCGGCGAACCGATCAGCAACGAACTCGCGACCAACATTCTGATCGAGTACTTGAAGAGCTCGACGAACGCGAAAGCCTGGGCTCTGATCGATTACCCGTGCACGTACGAGCAGATGTCTCGGCTGGAGACAGCTTTGACGGGTTCCACTCCGCCCCCCGACCGAAGAGTGCTCGATTTCGAGAACGTTATCGTCGAGGACATCGAACCTGTATCGCCGAGGATCGTTTTCGAGGACGAGTCTGATCCGTACGCGTTGAACAGGCTGTCGAGAATCGTGCCTGATCCGAGAGCGGAGCCGAGCGATCGCGTCGATCCGAATCGCACCTTCGCTACGCTTTTCGTCCGAGTCAAGCAGCAACCGAAATACTTCGAGATCGGGGACTTGACGTACGAAGCGGTAAGCAAGGACGCACCCTCGATCGATCAGTTTTACGCCTCGCGCAACATCGCTCACATTCTCTACTACTCCAGCCTCGATTTGGCTACGTTGAAGAAGCTGGCGAGATTCGTGATAGGCGATCCGTTGCAGCGGAGATCCTCCAATGAATTATTCGGCGACGCTTTGAAGAACTTTGAGAAAGAGACGAAGCGCGGTCCCAGCCTGAAGGAAGCGGTTATCCGGCGACTCTTCACCGAACACCAGTTGGAACAGTTCCAATTCGACGGGGAAGAGGAGGGGGAGACGGAGATGGAAGAGGAGAGGCAGGACCTCGCTTCTGCCGATTTCCAGCTGGAGTTGGAGTCGCGACCGGCAAAACCGGGCGAACCAACCTGGCAGTGGCTCGACCTTCCTCTCTCTTCCACGCTCGTCGACAATTTGGCCAGCTTGTGGGAGAATCTGGAAAGGGTATACGTGGAAGAGCTGAAGGAGCTGCTGTTGCTCAAGAGCGTACAGGCGTCTAGCATCGTTCCCTATACGGATTTCCTGACCAGGCACGCGGTCCAATTTGTCGAAAGACCGGACGACAAGCAGAATTTGTTGCACGAGTTTCACAAAGCGTTCAACGCGATCGACGAGGACGCGAGAAAGGACGTGGACGTGAAATGCGAGCTGCATCGTCGCGTGGCCGATCTTCAGGCCGAACTCTGGGAAATGTGCGATCGGAGGAAAAACGCAGCGGAGGAGGAGCGGATTAGGTATCTGAACGACCGATGGACCGTCATCGAGGCGGTGCTTCTCTACGACATTTACGTTGGAATTGTTCAAGTGGAGATCGATCGATGCGTGGACACGATACAGCTGCTGCAAAACTACTATTTGGGCATGTTGGAAAGACCGCTGCAACAAGTTGCTATTCCCAAAGTCGTCCTGAACAGTATCCGGGGAAACGAGGGGGCCCTGCACCGGGAACAATCGTTGGATACTCCGAAGGCTGGGGAAAAGTCGACCGATCGAAAGAAGAAGGGAGGATCGTCGAGAATGTCCGCCTCTTCTCCTCCAGCCGCCGTTCATCGCGATCTCCTTGCGAAAGAAATCGACGAGGTGTTGGTAGACAGAAAGAAGTCTCTGGGAGACGTCGAAGGGGTCAGCTTGTTGGGGGGAATTGGCGAAAACGTTCGATACGTGAAGGGCATCGTAGACGCGTTATCGGCGACTGCCAAGGAGGTGGTCAACAGGGAACGAGTTGCAGTCTTGAGAATCAAAGATTTCTCGACCGAGGTCGTCACCTCGAGAGGGCAGGATCTGATATTGGAATGGGAATACGCGGTGAGTTACGAGATCGAACGGATTCGTCTGAAACTCGATTCGATAATCGGCGTGGCTCGGGTGGACGTTGCTTTCTTGCTGGAAACTATGCAGAGGACCTTCCATGGGATTTACGACTACATCGTGGACAGGTTAAGCCCTCGATCGAGACAATTAGCCCGATCGTTTACCGAGTCCGTTTGCACGTGCGCAGGTACTGGCGGGAGATGAAGAGCGTGAACGAGCTAACGAACGTGTTCTGTTTCGCCGTCGAGGAGGGTAGAGCGCTGGAAAAGGAGATGCTGCTGGAAGGCGACCGTTTCGTTATTCGATCGAACGTGTACGTGATGGAGGTGGATTTGGAGAAGAGAAGGAGCGCGAAGGAGGTCTCTTCACCTTCCAGATTCCGCCTAACTCACCTGGCCCGCCTACACGAGATATTTAAACGAGTCGCTCCCTACGGGACGATGTGCGAGCAAACTTTGATCTACATCCTGCAAGATCTGGCGAGCCACGGTCAGGAGGAAGGAGAAACCATGTCCCTTCCGTGCTCGTGGTATCACTTTCGCCCCGGAGACATTTCCAGCCTCGTCGGGAAACTGTTCGGTTCTGCCGATTACGTCGATTGGCGGGAATTTATCGTTTACGGGATGGAACTTCCGATTCCGACTTGTCAGGAGATTTTAGTCACCAGAGATCGGTTCAGAATTCAGGATTGCAACTTGGCGGAGGTCGTGAGCTGCGTTCAGTACAATCGAACGCCGTTGTGGTTCGAAGAGTGCACCGAACCGTGCGTCGACGTCCGCCAGTTTCTTCTCGACGAGTTTCAGAGAAATGGAGAGGACCTGTACGACGAGGAGCTTTATCATTTCGATCGTGACGCGAATGGTCGGAGCGGCATTTCGAACGTGACGTTATGCTGCGGCAACCCCGAGGAACTGCTCAGACAAGCGTTGGCGAAGAAGCTGCTCGGTCGAATGTACATGATCGATCGACACACCGTTAATTACACCGCGTTGCTGTTGGCCTTCTGCAAGGACCAGGATCCGCGAGAGGGATTCGCGAAGGCGCTAGCGCTTGCTCTAGGGAACAGAGTGTGCACGAACGTGGAAGAGGGGGAGAAATACGCGAAGGAGCTTTTCGAAGAGAAACGTTTGTCGGAAGAGGCTGCCGAGGTACGTACACCAACTTCCACCAACGGTGGCAACTGACGGAAACGGCACGCTTCCTTTCAGGTGGTAAGGTTCATTCTAGACGAGCTGATAGATCAGCTGGACGAGGAAATTGGCGAAGGACTGTCGACGACGGAGAGGAGAGGTACGGAGGATGAAAGCGAAGAGCAGTTGAACGGGGAAGTTTCGAAAAGCAGCTTGTCGGAACGCAGCGTCCCCGATGTCATAATTTACTGGCTCTCCCTGGACGTTTGTCTCGTAAGAATCTTTCGATCAATTCCGAAATGTACGTATTCGTTGCATTTGCTCCGCGAATCGTTTCAGACGGTGCTAGCCGCGGCACTTCCGTGGCACGTGGTGCAGCCGGAAGTAATCGGAACGTACGAGAGTCTCTGCGATAGTTTGACTCGGGTGTTCAAGGAACTGAGGGACGAGGAGCTGAACGACGAGAAGGACGTCGTTTTGGTGCATCGATTGTTGAATCACGATTTCATGAAACGATTGCTAATCAGCGTTAATAAATTCACCGCGAAGAAGACGGGAGACATGGTCGACGAGATGTTGCGATCGAGGGAGAATGCCAAGTCCGCTTAGAATGAAAGAGGTTACGACAATTTCGGAGGACAAGCTTTAACAGGATTTATTGTTTCGATACATCACGAAGAGTATGTGAACTTGTGAAAAATTGTAATCTTTCAGGTAAATTGCGAACACGTCGCGTTTTACAGTTTTCCTGTGCTTACAGCCTTTTCTTCTTCCTCTTCCTTCTTCTTTCTTTCAAGGTGGAACTTTGTTAAAGAACTTTGTTGGTCGTTGTATCGAACGATCGGTGTTGCGGTGGGACAGTCCCCAATTATCCGTTGTTCGTTCACGAATACCTTAATACCTCTGTACAAGCGACGGATTATAGTAACCGTACGTATGTATGTAGATATTACTCTCTCGTATAAATACTTGTGGTCTCCTTACGCTACTTCCTTCGTTTCAACCGCCGTTTACTTGAGAAATGCGTCCGTACTTGGCAAACACGAGTCCAATGTTCAATCCAAACGAAATTTCTACGGTATAGTTGGATTCGACGATTCGATCGTCGTTCGAATTAAACGTAACGCTAACATAGTGGAAGATCTTTTTCAAAGGTACAACACGATCGGAAGGATAAAAGAAGAAACGAGAAAAGAAAAAGGAATAAAAATCCACTCGCCTAGGATATTATCGCTTATTCGGTTACGGTAATATGTATATGGTACAGAGTATCCTTAAAGTAAAGTTGAAGTTGAAATCTTCCCTTTCCATTTAACGTCTGAACGAACTACATATGTATGTACATAGTTCGACGACGACGACATCGTAAGAACACGGTAGAGCGAATAGCACAAGGATACCCGATAGTCGATTTCTTCTCGAGTGACGCCGTCTGAAATTCAACCCGTAGGAACAACGATTAAAGGGTTGCGCCGCTCTCTCACTCCGTATCCAACTTCTACCGTCCTCTTGTCATCGTGTTCGGTTTCGCGAGATTTCCGCCGCCGTAAGGAAGGTGTATTTTATTCACAGCCCGTACTCTCACCCTTAACGATTTAAGTATTGATTCCTAACGAACAAAAACGCGTCGCGACGCGTGATATGTTTTACGTGTCTCGCCACGACTCGACCGAAACCTATTCTTCTCTTCCTTACCATCCTCTAATTTCTTATAATCTTATTATTTCTCGCGCACTCGAATCGGAGAATTTCGTTGGTCATCGATGAAACATCGCACGATGCACAATAGTAAGGGTCGAGCACGCGCGAATAGCTTCGGCCATCGTACGAAGTGTGTGCGTGCATGTGTCGTGTGTGTCTCTGTGTGAAAGCGTGTACAGGTTCAAGGAAATGTGTATAAAATGCGAACGCGATTGTTCTCTCCGACGTTCTATGTACGTATAGTTCACGTCACACGCTTAAGTACCGTTTCCGTTGCACGTCCGTCTCGCCGCGATTGCGCAACAAGCCCCTGTTGCTAACGGAAATAAATCTTTCACGACACAATTAACCAGTCTTATTAATCGCCGTTTTACAAAAATAAGCTTCCTCTGACGCGCGCTGCCAGACTTTGAGCGTATGCGGCACGCTGATCGTTGACCGTTCTCGGTTGGAAATCGCGTAAATAGCTGCTGACCGGATAACACGATTCCGCCGTTTCACGATCCCACGCACATACACGTGTATCGTGGAAGAGTCAGCGAGGGACCACTGATTACAGACGGAACAGTCACGTAGTGCGGTTCAAACGGCGAAATACCGAATCATCGCGAAACAAAAGAGAGCGGATCGTTCGTTGTCCCGGCAAGTTTTCCTCGCGGCAACTCGAAGGAAGCCAATTGCGACACGGGCTGAAAAGGTCGGTTACAAAGTTGTCCTAGATACGCGGTGGTCAACCGGAAGCTCGGGCTACCGTCGTGTTTCGCGTAACACGACCGAGGAAGCCTCGAGTCTCTACGTATGGTACACGCGCGTACACTATAAATAGATAGATAGATGGATGGATAGATAGATAGATAGATAGATAGATAGATAGATAGATAGATGGATGGATAGATGGATAGATAGATAGATGGATAGATAGATAGATACATACTGTGTAGTAGTAGTAGTAGTAGTAGTAGTAGTAGTAGTAGTAGTAGTAGTAGCAGTAGTAGGCTAGTGGAATCCGAAAAGGATGGCGGAGCTCTTCTCCCGTTTTCGTTCTACACACTTTTCTCATTCTCTCCCTTTCTCTCTTCTAGTCGTGCGCGCACAAACGCACGCACACACGCACGCAACATACACGCATTCTCCTTTGGCACGTTAGCTCGTCGTACGTTACAACCTACCTGCCCTTTTAGCCTATCCTAGTTGCGATAAAAAAATACGAGGAATAAAAATATATCACGTAACAACGTTTCTCTCGTTCGTCGAGAGAAACAGCTCGTCGGTTATCCGTAAGCGGCTGTACCGTCGATCTTTCCGGACCTTTCGAGTTCCTTTTCACGTGTAGTTTCACCGACAACTCTTCTTCGAGCTACCCCGTTTCGTGGAACTTGGTTTCGCGTTAACCTCGAGGACGCGGGATCTGAGCGATCTCGAGCGGTTCGGATCGCTATCCGATCCAGGAGAGCCATCAGCTGGGCTGTGGGGCCGTCAGTTTCACCAGGAGCCACGTGTACAGTTTCGGCTTCTGTTTGTCGACCAGTTCGTATTGAAGATTGGTGAGTCCGTCCGTGGAGAATCTTTTCTTGCCCGTCTTTAGATACTCGTATCTGTTGAAACGAGGGAAAACTGTAGAGTTTCGAAGGGGCTGATCAGCCGAGAGCTCTCACCTCTTTGGATTGGCCTTCTCCTTTTTGTGCGTGAGCATCTTGTAGCGCGCCACGTTCGCCGGATATCGAGAAATATGGAGTCCCCGCGCTTTTATCCGATTCGCCATGTCGTCGTCTTCGCCGCCCCATCCCCAGAACACGTTGCTGAATCCGTTCACCAGACGGAAATGTTCGCGCAACATCGCCGACACGCCGCCGAATAGATCGGTGTAGGGTAGCCTGTGTAGAGAACGGTACAACGGTAACTCCCACCGATTTCAACAGGCAGAGGCTCTCCTCTGTACGTACCTGTATTTGAACTTGTCCACTGCGACGGACATATGCCTCGGCTGTTCCGGACACGTGTAAAGATTTCTATCGTCTTCGGGAAGTAGGTCGACATCGTGAAAAATGAAACAGTCGAAAGGTCGCTCCTTCAAGGCTTCCACGTATCCTACGTTCATGAGCATCGCGCGATTGAAGGCGCCGTTACCTGGAAGACAAAACGAAATTACCGGATCGATCTTTTTGCGTGATTCACGTAGAGGAGGATGTCCTCCTCGCGTACCTTCAACTATCTTATCTCTCTGCGCTTTTCACAGTGCTTTTCACAGAGATAGAGAGAGAGGGAGGACGGGACTCGGGAAGCTGGCGGAAAAAGTAGGCCGCGAGCCCGATCTTCGGTCAACTTTGCGGACACGTATGCAGGCATAAAAGAGGCTCTGGCAAGGAAAATCGCCGACCCTGCCTCGAGTGTATCTCGACGATAGAACGATCGACTTTGTTCTTGCGTGTTTTTTCGTGTTTCGCGTGCACACACATGCATACACATGCATACACGTGCATCTAGGTCAATCGAGAAACACAGGCTAGCGCACGAGATGGCGTGAAAAGGAGAAAACGTAGGGTCGTGGTTGAAGAGAAGCTGTCTCCAACTGTTCGATCGACTTCTCCGCTCTACCTCGGAGCAATTTCTTCTTGTACGAGTGAAACCTGGTCGTTACCTTTCTCCGTGCATTCTTCCGGGAAGAGGATTAAGTCGGTCTGGGAGTTTTTGTTATCGCGAGGAAAATTCTTGATTACTCCGGAGAACTGGCGCGGCGGGGACAAAGTTGGCGTCCTCGAGACGATTGGTCTACGTTTATCGGCCGCCGGCCGGTCGATAGATTCGATTCGATACCTGCGTGCACCGCGAGTCAACTAAGATACGGGTATTGCTTCGCTCTGCATCTACGACGAACGGGGCAAAAAGGAGGAGGACGAGGAAGAAGTAACGGTTATAGGATGGCGTTAAGGGTGAACGAGGGTGAAAGGGAGTAGCTCGACAAATTGCTCTAATACGATTTACCGCTACGCTTCCTCCTTATCCTAAATTATTACATGTATATCGAAAGGGAAGGCGAGAGAGGCCGCGTTGTCTGCCGCGGCGAGAAAACTCGATCGATACGCCAATAATGGAGCGGCGTGTAACGTTTTAGGATAAATATTGCTGCAAAACGGGCAATTACGCAGCCGATTGGGTAGGCTATGGGAGCCAGCGATAAAGTCGCGTGGCAGTTTCCCGTTAACGAGAAGCCGCAAAGTAACGACGACTAGGAAGACCGCCGATCCGCGTGTTTCCGGCAAACGAACCGAACGATATTAACGGCGACGACAGCTGCAACTAATCCCGTTTGAAAAGAACCGCGCGTATATGTATACACAGACCGAAGGCATCCTCGATTTGCCACGAAACTGACGGGTTTCGCGACGTAGGATTTCATTGTGGATCGAGTGCGTCGCGCCGAGAAACCAGGGGAATTAACGAAACGTCACCGATCTAATTTCCTCCGATCCCAATAACAACACAAGCTCGTGCAAATGGAAGAGGTGGATTTGAATTGCAGGGAGGCGATAGGGTGAAACGGAACCGATACCGCATTGCGGTACTTGGGTCCGTGCAATCCTCTCCACGATTAAGTTACGTAAGGCCTTTCGACCGCAGAGACAAGTTACCTACCTTGTTGCTCCACCACGAATATTTGATAGTCGATCTGCTGACGAAGAAGCATCGGGTGGAGGTTGTAGAGCAACGCTTGAAGGTGTTGCGGTCGATCGCGGAACGGAATGACGATGGCGACGCGATACCTCGCGATGCAGTCCGATGGGTAACCTCTGCCGCCTGGTTTCACCTCGGTGAACGCCTTTTCTATCGCCGCCAACTCAGGAGGTGACTTGCTAACGGCCAGCGGTCCGACTGAAAAATCGTTCGTGGACCGATCAGCCGAAGCTTACGTCCTTTAACTGTAAACGGAGGATGTGAACTTACCGAGATTCGGAGGAATGAGCGGACATGGCGGCACGATAGTACCGTTGGTCGCGTTCGCGGTCGAAGATTCCTGCGAACTTCCAACGATGTACGTGTTTCGAGTAGGGCGCGCGGATTCTATCTTGGAGAGGTTGGAATTGCCCCTGTCGCCGCCCCAGAGCAGGATCGTTGCGGTGGCATTGTTTTCGTTACCGAGTATGCTAGCCACGGTCACTGGCCCGTATATGATCAGGCCCCGTGGATGATGCCTGTAGGTACGATCCGCGTATCTGAAACGAAATCGGCACCAGCTCTTACCAGATCGTCTCTCTGCCTACCGTTCAATCGAGAATATTTTTAGCCGCGGGAGGGCAACATTTAGTCCCGGTTACGTCCGTTTTGGCGCAAAGCTTGTGTACACCGAGCCGTGTATTTCTGTCTCTACTAAAGGCCTACTCGAGCGAACTCAACTTCAGGAGCAAAGGTTGCCTTTATTGAACGTCGATTAATGTCGCGCGCCTGGCGCACGCAATTGTGCTTAGACCGTGCGAGCTATGCGACCGCTCGCTCCAATCGCGACGGTAAGGGAAACGGGGAAAACTCGACCGTTCGTTCTCTGGCTAATTTCGCGAACCTCTAATCGCTGACTCTGTCGAAGGCCGGCTTGGAATTTCTCGCGAGCGGTGTTCAGCCGCGCGTGGAATCGTTCGCGGCTTATGAAATCATCGAGGGATAATGGTACGTGGTACGTGTATGTATGCGACGCGGTGCGTACAGGATGCGCGCGTGTCGCATGTGAAAACACCAGCCGCTGGTCACTGGCCACTGGCCACTGGTCACTTCTGGACTGTGGAAAATCCGAGAAACAGGCTTTCACCTTGGTATTTCCGCCGTAATTTCCGACGTAGCCACGTCGTCTCGTATCGTATCGTTCGCCGAGAGATCACCACCGGAGGTATAGATGGAGCTACATACATACATATATCTGCTACTGTTGTCACAAGGACTAACTGTAGAAACGGTGGAATCATAAGGTATTCCTAGCACGGCCGGTCTGAGAAAGATATTAATTAATCGTGAATGACCGTTGTTGCGAAAGAATGCGAGTGCGCGGAAACGAAGGTACGTCGCGGCACAAAGGAGGCTCTTATTGATCGACGCCTAGGAAAAAAGGAACGTCCGATAAAAGGGTTATCAGCTTTTCTCGTTTTCGGTGTCACGTCCCAGAGTGATTAATATGAAAAAAACAAAAAAAACAGAGCGTAACAAAGACGCTATTGTAAGTATCTCGAGAGCTGGAACATCGGGAAACCGGTGATTTTCGAGTAGGAACGAACGAACGAACGAACGAACGTGTCACGCGTCAATAAATACACGCGCGTTATCGGATCCTTTTGAGAACGTGAAACGGTAGATTTATGCGGGGCCAGACACGAACGTTTCCTTTAACGATGATTTACAGCCGTGCGCGCGGCATACCGGTTCGAACTGCTTCGGGATTTCCGCAGAGTTCGATCGATCACGGTAAACGAACAGCGTTGCGAGCGATGCGCAGCTGCGTCGAATATAATACGGGCTAGATGGGATTAGCGTACGTAATCACGGGAACGTATTAACTGGACGCGCCAAGGAGAAATATGGGAACAATCTCGACGAGCGGCCGGAGCTGAATCGCAAGTAACTGTAGCGGCGCCTAGCCTATTCAAGCGATCTCTTGTTTGCATTTACGAGTCGCGCGATGTGACGGATCGTTTCTGTATCCGGTGTACATCCACCGTATACCGTACCGGGGACCGGGACCGATACCTGTCGCGTTAATCCAGAGAACCGTGTGTTCTCCACTCGAAACGAGCGATCGCTTCCCGTTAAGACCGTTACCAACTGGTAACTAATCGCTTTAATAGATTTCAAAGTGAGCTCGCTAAACCTTCTACGTTCATTTTTTTCCATCTTCAGTTACGAACGCGTCGACTGCGGAAAGGGCATATAACTGTATCGTGCCGTTTCACGTCTCGTAGCGCGACGAATTAAACCAGTCGCGAGAGTAACAAATTGTTGTCACGCGCTGTCGGCGAAATTTGAAATTAACCGTTGCCAGTCGCGCTCGTAAATCTGCCACGAAGGAAACGGTTCCGTTAAACGGCGAGCATTTGCGATTTTTCATTAAATCGCTTTTCCCGCCGGAAACGTGCAATTTTATGCAAGACGGAACGCGGCCAGACCTTAGGCTTAACCCGATGGGAGAAACACGCTTGCTCCCGTTTCATTCATTCCGACGCCGCTTCCCCCTCAAGGATATCCCTCTGTATTTTCCGAGCCAGAAGAAAGGTGCATCAACCTCTGGGATCTGTTCTTTCGCAGGCTTGGTTCGTGGTATCCAATTTTTCTCGTGTGGTAATGGTCGCGTAACCGGCGCGCCGCGAAGGAATTCCGCGGAATGCGGCCACTTTGGCGAATGCGATGGCTGTAGGGATCGTTAGAGAGCCGCTTCCGCAAATGGACAATCCAGATGACCGGTAACGAAGTAACGAGATCACGTACCTACGCTTCTCGAATACTCGTACGCGACGGAAAGATGAATTTTCTCGGGAATTTACTTGGACGTGGCCGGACTGCCTGCAGTCGTCGCTCATTGTTGCGAAATTGCGGTAATTTTGCGCGATTTTCGACCGGAAATGAAACGTTCTAACTTTTCCCGCAATTCTCCTGGCCGATCCTCCGAAGCCAGACAGCCACACCTTTTTTCTTCTTCTTCTCTTCGTTGAAAAACTCGCGTTTTAATCTCGAAACGTTCCCTGCAACCAGTTCCACCTTTTTTCTGGCTTACCGAGCTCTCGCGGCAAGCTCGAGACTTTTTGTCTCGTCCCTTTTCCACCGGATAAAACTAAATACATACGTATCTGGTGCGGTTCGATTTCTCGATACTTGAGATGAACCAGCAACCGTTTACTTCCCATAGTCGTTGGCTTCGTAAACCGTTGTCAATGGTGGTCCGTCCGTCGTCGTTAAACAACCACTTTACCATTACGTCAGTTGACTGGAGTCGCTAATAAGATTTCCCCACGCGTCGAACGCAGGATCGAATAATTACCCCGTGTGTACGTACCTGGTAGCGTTAATGGTGAAAATCGTCTCTATGGAGCGACGATCGATCACGCCGCTAAGTAAATACTGAATGGCAATAAGGGCGAGGACGACGCAGACGATCGCCTTGTAGAAGTGGGCACGATGCCACAGTGCCACGGCTGCGGCCACAGTCATCGCATCTGCGAGACACCATAACTCCCTCCTATCGCCGTTAGAAGAGCGCCGTACTGGACGAGGCGCTCCCTGTTGGCTGCTGTTGTCGTTGTCGCTGTCGTTGTCGTGGCCGTGGCCGTGGCCGTTCCCGTTTCTTCGCTCCTACGCGCGCGACTTCTTTTCCTTTTCCTCCGGGATCCGCGAGCTGGAGAACGTGTCGAACGGAGGCTTCTCAATTCTCCTCACCAGGCGCATTGCCCTCCCTCACCGCGACGACACCCCTGCTATCCTGGCGAACAGAAAAAACCAGCTGGCCTTACTCTTCCAAATCGAGGAGAAGAACGAGGCGAATTAGTTGGGGCTCGCGTACTGCCCGTCGCGTAATATCGACAGAGAGGGAGGAAACGTGAAATCTGAATTTGAAAGGAAGCGTTAGAGATTAGATAGGGCATCCGGCGTTGGAGCATTTTTAGGAAAGATCACTTCTGAAGAGCAACGACAGTTTGGACGCGCGTAGTTTGAAGGTCTTGTCCTCTCGTGCTGTCGCGTGTCGCGAAAAATAGAAAAGCCCCGGCCAGAGAGAGGTTAGGTTGACCGATCGATGCGAGCCGTATCCTCCGTAAACTTTGCCCCTGACTTTGAAATCGTGTTGTTTCAGATGTAGTTTGCGCGTGCACTGTTTGCGGAAGTTACGTAGCTAATATGGGGTAACAGCCTTTCGCGATTACGACCGTTTTACAGCGTCTCGACAGGCCACCAACGCGCTACGTGATTACCTTGGTGCCCGTTTCGTGGAAAAATTCTCTACCAGTTGCTTCGCTTATCCTCCATACTGTGCGTGATAGACGAACGATCGGCAGGTTTCCGTTCGAGAAGAAAAGCGAAAAAGGGAAGACCGTCGGAAGAGAAGATCGATACGAATGCCGCAATCACCGTCGCGCTCCACCCGCAAAATTTTCCCTCCATTCTCGCCATATTTCCACGGAATATCTTTTTTTTTAAACTTTCTTTCTTTCTTTTCTTTCGTTTTGTACGCTTCGATCGAACATTCCAAAATTGCTAGAATATTTGGAGAGGAAATATTTAAAAAGTTCCCCGTATTTGCTCCGTTCTTTAAACCACTTAAAGTGTGCGGGTATTTTCGATTTGGATACATAGTAGGAAGGCAAACAAAGACACGGTATGAATTACGATCGGTGTGGTTAACGACGTGAACTTGCGCTCGTGCGTGCGTCTACTACTGGCGCGATGCACCGGCGTTTACTGTAAAATCTACAATTACGATGGTTATCGTGACACTCTAATTATTATACATATTTCATACCGTGAATTCTCTCTCTCTCTCTCTCTCGCCGGTTGCGTGCTAAACAAATTAGTTTAAGCCGACCGTATCTTGGCGAGTCCGCGATTTATAAGAAAAAGCCAACAGCCGGCTCGCGAGATGATGAAAATGTACAGCCTGGGAAATTTCCAGAGATTCGAGATATCGCACGAAAAACACGAGAGAAAAAAAAATGTAAAGGTGGTAGATCACGCCACGTTACGCATATTTCGCGCAATCTTTTAACTCCGCTACAAGAAACGCTTCGGACGTTATCGTCCGATTGCGAAACCTTCGTTGCACAAGCATTTCGAAATGTACGAAAGAAAAAGCGAACGAAAGCCAATCTGGTTAACGTCGAATGTCGTAAAACGGTAACGATGTCCCGTAGGTGTCGACCGCGGTATGCATCTGAATTCCGTCCGATTGTCCGCGCCACGGACTTTCCTCCAAGGATATTCGACAGGAAAAATCGGAAACGAGCGTATCGATCTTTCCGTTGGTGCACGGATTGCGTCGCGTGGGCGGAATACTCAAAGAGGATATCGCCGTGAATCTTATCGTGTTTGTCCTGTCTCGGTGCACGGCGAGCGCGTGCATGAGAAAGGAAAGGAAAACGACCTAGCAGGGTGCGTGGAGATCCTCGACCGGAACCGGGGGATAAAAGAACCCTTGTGCGTCTCTCTTTGCTTCTTCGCTAAATCGGAGCTATCTCGTATGCGCGTGGTGCGCGTCGCAATGCAGCAAACATAGCGGGAACAAGCGTTTTCCCTCTTTTATGGGCCAATTACGGAACGCTAAAGTACACGTCTGATTCAACCACGGTGTTTTATCGAAAACACCACTTGTCACGCTATTAGCACGGTTGTTCATTACGATTCGTTAACCCTGCTATCCGTTAATCGCAGGACGACTTAATTGCTTCGTTGATGCGTGTCGTTGTCGATTATTGGTAGGCCTTTGGTAGGGCGTTCTTCCCATGGAAAAAGTGTCTGGAACTTGGAAAGTGGACTGGACAAGTCTATCGAACGATAACTAGAAACCGAGCACATTCTCAACGCGATAACTCGATAAAAATCGAACGCGACGTTTTCCGACGACTTGCCTCTCGGTTTAAATACGCATGGACGCGGTGCGCGGCTGAGACGAGCCTGTTCATCGAGGCGCAGAGAGGGTGGAGGCGAAAGGGAAACGCTATCAAAGAGATTGCAGGGTGTGCCGGTTCGTGTTACGTCCAAGCTTTATTTTCCACGCCACTTTATATCCCACATGGAGGATCGGCGAGAAAACAGAGGTGAACGGTGGACACGTTTGGATTACGCTTATCTTTTTCCACTCGAGACAATTCGAAAAGTGGAGTAACGGGGAACAAATTCCGGACAAATTTAGGGGGACGGAAGTAGCGCGTCGAGGACTGCCATTTGGTCTTGGAAATAGTAAAGATCGGTTTTGTTAGCACTTTGGGGACTTTTTGCGATAAAAGCGAGCTGCGCTCTATGTAGAAAGGTGCAACGACGCGAATCAAATCGTAGAGAGCGAACCAAGCTTTGCCTGTATTTAGCCGAGAAAAAATTCCAACCCTCCCTTTTCTGCGCCGTATGCAGTCGATAAACCGTAACGCGATTCCACGTAAACAATCGCAATTGTAAGGCCGCGCGCGTAAGGGTTCGCGCACTTTTATTTGTCCCGGTGGAGCTCGTTAGTGTCTTTACACGCGGCACGGTAACGATGATACGGGATTAAACGAGGTTCTGGTGACTACGTACGAGCATACTCATCGAATAAATTGCAGTTGCTTCTCTCCGAGATCACACTGTACTTTGTTTTCGTGCTGTTTTCCCACTGCTGTTAATTTTTCCCCTCCAGTTTTTAACTCTCGATACGAGCTATTGCGCCGTTCCTCGCACTTTTTCCTTTTGCACCTCGATTCTTTCCCTTTGTATCGCAATATCCGCCCTTGCGCTACTTTAAGCGCCGGCCTACTCTAGATAGCCGTATTGTCGAGGAGTACGTTTCCAATTAACGGGCCGAGTTGTGGTTACCAGGAGATCACTCGTGATGCTTTACCTTGTTATGGAAATTTGCCCCAACCCTCCCTCCCTCGCTTCTCTAGATAACCGAGCAACTTTCACACAGTATCTATGTACATATGCAAATTTCAAACGCCACCTTTTTCTTTCGGCTGTCGCGAACGCTGACAGCGCCGACACGGCGCCCAATCTTCTTAATTAAGGGGGGAACGTAAATAGAATCAGAATTGATAATCGACTGCGAGCTCGTAAACAGCCCGCTAAGTATTTAATTAAACGTGGACAGATTTTACCGTGCGTGTAACTAAACAAACGGCCAATCAGATGATACCGAAATTTACACAACAGCAAATATCTAAATAAACATCTACCACAGGTATAGCCTCGGTAATAGCGATCGATACTCGTTGCTCTACCGACGCGACCATAGAAAAGAGCTCTCTTCTTTTTGGTAATTAAGGTCGAACGGCGAAAGAAATGCTCGTAGTTGGTCGGAAAATATGAAAGGAAATGAAAGGAGGAAGGAGGAATATGTGGCGGTGGTGGTAAGGGAATGAGGAAAGAAATTGAAAGAGAAGAAGGAAATGGAG